AGCCAACCAGGGGCTGGGCGAAAGCCGTCCTCTGGTTTGCCCTGCTGCTTTGTTTCGCCTGCTTCCTGGATTTCCAGATGTTCGAGGACTGCGAGACCTCGTCCGCGCTACCCGGCTGCTGCAACTTCCCGGGCGTGACGACAGCCGAGGGCAGCGAGCTTTGGGAGACGTGTGCGGTGGACAGCAGATGCGCCGAGGCGCACCGCGTGCCAGCGCGGGGAAACGGGTCCGAGAGGCAGGTGTACTGCAAGCTGCCAGAGAATAGGGGAACAACAAGTGACATAAACATCACAACTCGGAGGTCCGCGCGGATTTCTCGGATCGGCGCTGGGGCCCCCCGGCGGCGCCTCCGGCGCAGCCCCTGGCGCGCTCCGCGCGCCGGGGAGGGGGGTCCAGCGCGGATCCGAGAAACCCGCGCGGACCTCCGAGTTTTTATGTTTATGTCACTTTCTGTTCCCTTAGAGAAGGAGCAGGAGCACCCGATCGGCGACGGAGGCGAAGACGCCGGAGAAGACACGGCGGGCCTGGACGGCCGCCACCGCGTCGGCGGCGTCGGTGTCTCCGTGCCGGGCGGGCTCGGGGTGCGCGGGGAGGCCACGTGCGAAGCGGCTGAGGTTGCAACGGGTCCGTGGTGCGATTGCGTCAAGGATCGGTGGGACGCGTAGCCCGGTGGCCTCGGGCCCATCCCACCACCCAGACCCCCTCGAGCAATGAAAAAATCATATGGCGGGAGGTGTTCTTTGCCTTTCGGCCTCCGGGGGCCCTCGCCGGGCCTCGGGAGCGTCGAACAACGACTCGGGATGCAGAGCCGGTCATGGGGAAAGGGTCGGGAACTCTGGGGGTCGACGTAATGAGAAAGTCCTTACGTCGGGGGTCTGGGCACCGTGTCTCAGACCGATCGTTCGGCGACTCGAGGCCGTCTTGGACCGTCCGTGTGGCCCGTCTCTGGGCCCTGGGAAGCGACTCGAGAAGACGCGCCGGGGCCGAGGAGGCACGCTGGGAGGCTTGGGAGATTGACGAATTTGGGGTTGGACCCCCCTGACTTGTTCATAACTCGAGCCTGAGGACAGAGGACAACTGAGGACCCGAGGACACTCCAACTCGTGCCTCGCGGCACGGTGGCGGATAAGGCGGCTTCTCAGTGGCATTCACTTTTGGTTCACGGCCCTGCCAGGTTCGACAACTTACTCGCAGATGCGAACGACGAGGAAGAGAGGAGTCTCTCGCCTGCCTTCAAGGTTTTCAGGGCGATCGGGACCGCAGGCTCTGTTGAGTTCTACTTCACGGCCATCGGCGTCCTGTGCAAGATCATCTTGGCTGTTGAACACCCGAACAGCGAGCGCATAATGGAGCTCAACCGCCACAGTCACCACCACTGAGATTTGCGATGCTGTGATGCATGCGGTCCTCGCACGGCTGAATACATGCGTTCCGACACGTTTCTCGACTCAGATCTTCTTGCCCCTTTGAGACGGGCAGGTGGTCACGGTCTCCTTTTTGGTGTTTGTCGATTTGGGCCTCTGGATGCTCTGGGATTGGTGCAGTTTGGAAGAGTATTTCTCAGGGCCCAGGCGCTTACGGGTTATCCAGGGCCCTTCAGCGCGATCTTCCGAATGGTCTCACGTTGGACTCCTTGCTGCTCGCCCCATCTGCAGGGTGCCCGCCGCTGCACACGCCCGTGCCCTGGATTTGTTGTTGGCACCGCGCTACAGGTGGCTAGATTTCCGAAGTGACCAGTCATGGCATGTGGGAGGGTCGGGGGTGGACAGAACCCCCAACAGTGACACGTCGATTAGTGAATTGTCCGTTTTCGGTTCTCGAGAGGGCGCCGTGGCCGTTATTTTCCAGGCTTGCGCCCGCCAGGTTTGGGCCTCAGGTCGTTTTTACTAAACCACGTTCTACTAAAGGGGGGTCTGCCCATCCCCGAGAGGGGCCTCGGCAGTCTCGACAGCGTCACTGTGAGGCGGGTGGGTATCAGCGGCCGGGGTATTCGATTGCCGTCGCGCGAGCCGCTCGTGCACAGCGACGGCGCCGGCGACAGGCGAAGCACCTCCTCGAGAAGGCATCGCCTCCCAGCTGTGACCCGGATGTGTCGGTGAGCGCTGCCGGCAGCAGAGGCAGTGCCGTCCGCGCTGCCGCAGGCCCGTTCGAAAAAATGAACACACACGTGGGAAAAAACACACACACACACACACACACACACACACACACACACACACACACACACACACACACACACACACACACACACACACACACACACACACACACACACACACACACACACACACACACACACACACACACACACACACACACCCCACACACCACACCACACACAACACACACCCACACACACACAACACACACACACACACCACACACACACACACCACACCCCCCACACACACACACACACACACACACACACACCACACACACACCCACACACACACACACACACACACACACACACACACACACACACACACACACACACACACACACACACACACACACACACACACACACACACACACACACACACACACACACACACACACACACACACACACACACACACACGTGTGTTGTGTTTTTTTTCCCACTGTGTGTGTTTTTTGTGTGTGTTTTTTTCCCCACTGTGTGTGTGTGTGTGTTTTTTTCCGACAGATTTGTCCCACAGACGTGTGTGTTTTCTTCTTCCTCCTACAGTCTAGGCTTCCTAGATGGGCTCCGAGTAGATGGGGTCGGAGGATCGCGCCGCATCGCCGATGCATCGCCGATGCGGCTCGATGTGGAGCCCGATTGGCTTCGTGTCGACGTCGCCGATGCATCGCCGACGTCGACGATGTATCGCCGATGCATCGCGGATGTATCGGCGATGCGGCGCGATCTTCCGACCCTATCTACTCCGACCCCATCTAGGAGGCCTCTATATACAGTCGGCCCAGATTGGTAGGTCGACCCTGCCAAATCAAGGGCACCCTCGTGTCCTGTGTCTCGCGACCCATGCTTCCCACATTCCTGCGGCAGTGTGGCCCTCGGAAGGATCCTGCGTCCTCTCGCGTGTCCCGTCCAATCGAGGCCGACTGTACAGTTGGGGCCCTGAAGAAGGAACCCTTTTCGTTGGGGAGGAGCTCGGTGTTCCTTGATTGTTTCACAGTTTGCCTCAGGTGTTCCTTAGGTTTTCGATGGGACGTCGAAGTTCAACTCATGGAAAAAAGGGGCCTCGTTCCTTATTTAGGGTTCCTTAGGGCAACGCCCCGACTGTACCCCTCTTAAGGTCTCGTTGCTGCTTGAGCTCTCGAGCGTCTCCTGGGCCCCGTGCGCGGGGCGCCGCCGACAGTCTGCAGAGTGCTGCATGTGTTCGGTCTCCTGTCGTTTCCCTCCCCTCCCCACCCCTCCCCGCTCCTGTCGGGGGTGGGCAGATACCCCAACAGTGACACGTCGATTAGTGAATTGTCCGTTTTCGGTTCTCGAGAGGGCGCCGTGGCCGCTTTTTTCAGGTTTTTGCCCGCCAGGTTTGGGCCTCAGGTCGTTTTTACTAAACCACGTTTTACTAAAGGGGGGTCTGTCCATCCCCGATCCTGGCGGTGACCGCCCACTGCCGCTTCCCTCCCCATCTCCCTCCCCTCTCTCCCTCCCTCCCTCCCTCCCTCCCAGACCCGCCCAGAGGTTTCTCTGGTCACTCTGCGTGTCAGGTCTCTTGACAGTTCAGGCCTGAAGCGGATATCCGCTCAAGAGGCAGCCATGTCGTTTCGACTTCTCGGTTTCTCGACGGCTCCTGCCTCGGGCGACCCAAGGATAGTACGACCAAGCGTCCACACAGTCAACCCGCATAGTGAGGACGAGAAGCTCCCCAGGGTCACCCCTCGCATCCTTCCCATCCTTGGCAGATCTCGCTGGCCCCGCCCCGCCCGCACAGTGCCGACATGGCCTCCCACGGCCCCTGCGTCCTTAACCCGTTCATCCTGCATCCGAGCGGCCGACCCTTCCCCATCCCTCCTGCGGCTCCCTCCCTTTCTCTCTCCTGTTGCTGCTCTCCTCCTCCTCCTCCTCCTCCTCCTCCTCCTCCTCCTCCTCCTCGTCCCCCTCCTCCCCCTCCTCCTCCTCCTCCTCCTCCTCCTCATCCTCCCCCTGCTCATCCTTCCCCTGCTCCTCCTCCCCCTCCTCCTCCTCCTTCTCCTCCTCCTCCTCCTCCTCCTCCTCCTCCTCCCCCATTCCTTGTCCTTATAAGTAACTCCTCCCTGTCGCGCCCCGAGGCAAGTTTTTTAGGGCGGGCCAGGCGTTTCGCCTGAGACTTCCTCACCATGTATGACCCTGAAGCTTAAAAAGTGATAGCAGCTTCACAGATGGAGGGCGGGTCGCTTTCAAAAATTGGCTCTCGCCGTAGCGCCGCGCACATTCGATTTGAAAATGTGCAAGAGCTTTACGGATTGAGGGCGGGTGGTTTTCAACATGTGGCTCTCGCCTTGGCGCCGCGCACACGCGATTTAAAAATTACACGAGCTTCACGGATTGAGGGCGGGTGGTTTTCAAAATGTGGTTCTCGCTTTAGCGCCGCGCACATTCTTTTTCAGTGTGCAAGAGTTTCACGTATTGAGGGCGGGTGGTTTTCAACATGTGGCTCTCGCCTTAGCGCCGCGCACAGTCGTTGTAAGTATGTGCAAGAGTTTCACGGATTGATGGTGGTTCCTTTTCAAGATGTGGGTCTCGCCTTAGCGCCGCGCATATTCGTTTTAACCAATTGCAGGAGTTTCACGGAATCCATGATCAGCAAACCAGAAAGTGTGTTGTGGAAGGATTCAGGATTATGCGGGTGCAGCAGTTATGCTGATTCGCTGTGTTTTAATCACCAAAATGGCGTTTTGGCACCATTTTGGATCGTCAAGACGCAGCAGTCAGGTTAATACGTGGCGTTGAAATCCCGAGAACAATGTTTTGGCACGCTTCAGGATCTTCAAGTTATTGTCTTCCAACGAGGCAGTTCCCTCAATAGAAATGAACCGTTGCAGGGGCCTATGAAGAGGGAGCGTGGAGGGAGGGTTAATTCCAATATCGTTGATGACTCTTGGGATTCCACTGGTCCTCCTCCTCCTCCTCCTTCCCCTCCTTCCCCTCCTCCTCCTCCTCCTCCTCCTCCGCCTCCTCCTCCCGTATCTCCTCCTCCTCCTCCTCCTCCTCCTCCTCCTCCTCCTCCTCCTCCTCCTCCTCCTCCCCCCGCCCCTTTGCTCCGCTCCCCTCCCCCAACGCGGTGGCTGGCCAGGCCGGCGGCGCGCCCGCCGAGCAGGGCGGCGGGGCAGCACGCCCAGCGGCGGCGCGGCGCGCTCGGCGCCCCAAGCGCGCGGCCCCGCGCCTCCTCCTCCTCCTTCCTCCTCCTCCTCCTCCTCCTCCCCTCCCTCCTCTCCTCCTCCTCCCCTCCTCCTCCTCCTCCCTCCTCCTCCTCCTCCTCCTCCTCCTCCTTCCTCCTCCTCCTCCTCCTCCTCCTCCTTCCTCCTCCTCCTCCTCCTCCTCCCCTCCTCCCCTCGCCTCCTCTTCTCCTCCTCCTCCTCCTCCTCCTCCTCATCCTCCTCCCATCCTCCTCTCCTCCTTCCCTCCCCCATCCCCTCCTCCTCCTCCTCCTCCTCCGCCTCCTCCTCCTCTCCTCCTCCTCCTCCCTCCTCCCCCTCCTCTCCTCCCTCTCCTCCTCCTCTCCTCACCTCCTCCTCCTCCTCCTCCTCCTCCTCCTCCCTCGTCGGGGGTCCCTGCTTCCTCCTCCTCGGTGGGTCCCTCGCCCAAGCGCGCGGCCCCGCCTCCTCCTCCTCCTCCGCCTCCTCCTCCTCCTCCTCTACTCCTCCTCTCCTCCTCCCGTCCTCCTCCTCCTCTCCTCCTCTCCTCCCTCCTCCTCCTCTCCTCTCCTCCTCCTCCTCCTCCTCCTCCTCCTTCTCCTCATCCTCCTCCTCCTCCTCCTCCTCCTCCTCCTCCTCCTCCTCGTCCGTGTCCTCGTCCCTGGCGCCGCCAGGGCGGGGGATCGCCCGGGGCGGGCGGCGGGGGGCGACGGAGCTCCGCCCGCCACAGTGGGCGGGGCAAACTCGCCGTGTGCTCGTCGTCGTCGTCGTCGTCGTCGTCGTCGGCGTCGTCGGCGACCTCGTCGGCGACCTCGTCGGCGACCTCGTCGGCGACCTCGTCGGAGACCTCGTCGCGGCATCGCGAGCACCGCAGTTGTAGGGTGGTGCTGCCACTCGAGCGGCGGGTCAGCAAGCAGGATGAGGAGAAAGGCGGGACGAGCGCCCCCTTCCAGCTACATGAGGGGGAGCGGTATGGGGGGGGGCTCAGCGGGGGGAGCACCGAGCCGGAATAGGCGATACATCGCCGACAGTTCGGCGATAGGACTCCGACTGCGACTCCAAACGGTCCTTGGCGGGGAGGGCTGTCGGGCCCCTGTGGGCGATGGATGGGCAATTGGGGATCGATGCGTTCCCCCGTGAGCCTATCCCCTCATAAAAACGGCCCTTGACTTCAGCTGTGTGCCTGGATGTGTGTGTGTGTGTGTGGGTGTGTGTGCGCGTGTGTGTGTGTGTGTGTGTGTGTTGGACGGGCGGGAGCGGTCCGTGGCCTCTTGCTCAAGCGTCCAGAGACGTCCGTTGCACATGCAGCATCCTCGCTGGTGCGAACCATGGCGTTGGCTGCTTGGGAGAACTGGGCTGGCACACTGCGCGTTCGCACTCAAGTGCACCGCCCCAAGGACATTGATGACGTTGTGAGATGTGTCAGAGGTGCGCGCCGTATCCATGTTGTTGGGGCTGGCCACTCGTTTGCCTATCCGACTGGACCGCCAGAATTTCAAGGAAGTGAATCGGTTGATTCTGATTTCAGACTGCTGGACCTCACGGAGTCGATGAATAAGGTTATCTCGGTTACACGGCATGGAGATTCTTGGTCGTGCGAAGTGCAGGCTGGATGCACACTGGGGCATTTGGCAACTGAGCTTGAAAGGCATGACCTGGCACTTGAAACTGTTCCATCTTTGCTCTGCGTCACCATCGCGGGCGTCGTCCTTTCTGGTACGCACGGGTCTGGATTGGACCGGAAGGTTTTTGCTGATTTGGTTGAAGACATGACTTTGGTCAATGGCAATGGAGATTTGTGCGTGCTTACTAAGCCTGCGGACTTCCTGCACCTGGGCCTCCTTGGCGTCGTCACTCAACTGACGATCAGGTGCGTACCTTTTTATAAGGTGCAGCAGTTGGTGTATGAAGATGTGCCTCTGTCGTCCTTCCTCATGGATTGGCGCCAGGTGGTTGCATCTGGTGACAGTGTGGCATTGTGGATCGATCTCTGCAGCGGGACTCTGAAGGTGTGGGTGCGAAATCAGTTGTCCGTAGACCGATGCGCTGAGGCAGTCACCAGCGGATGTTATCATTCAACGCTCATTGCGATGGGTGGTTCCTTGCGCTTAGAGCCCATGCGCATTCTCGAAACGGACGCATTTGTTTCCACGACCAAGGTCGGTTCTTGGCACGAGATATTGCCATACTTCCCTGTCGGGGTGGACCTCACACATCCAGTGTCTGTGCAAGCCGAGTTTTTCGTGGCCCTGTCTGATTTCCCTGCAGCCATTGCAGCTCTTCGTGCGCTTCCACGCCTGAGCGAACTTCTGCCGCAGGGCTCCGAGGTTCGGTTTGTTCGGGGTGACCGCTTCGCTCTGAGTCCTTGCCACGAGCGCTTTTCGCCCGCAGAGCCTCTGTATGCTTGCATCCATTTCACGCTCTTGAACGATCCCCTGAAGGTGCCTCATATCGTTGCTGCAGTGGAGAAGGCTTTGCGCCCTTTCAGCGCCAGGCCGCATTGGGCTAAACTTTTCAGTCTCAACGGCAGGTCACTCGAGCGCAATTTTGGCGCAAGCGCTCACCCTGCGTGTGCATCCTTTTGGGAGCGAGTGTATGCCTGGGACCCCGAGGCCAAATTTCGGAATGCACTTTTCGATCAGATTGTGAGAAGACAAGTTGCAATCTTGTCAAATCAGCCCGATCATGTTGACCGAGTAAGTCTTGCTGCAAAGCCGATCGCGACGACCTGGCCGTTTACACGCGGATTGCTTTTATTCAAGACGGATCGCGTCCACCGTCCGCCCTTTCTACCTCTCCGGACATGGCCGCACGACGGGCTAGAAGCATGCCCATGCCAAAGGCGATTCAGCACTGCCTGTCCAGAGGCGGCCCAAGAGGCTTCTATGCGGGCCCAAAAAGAGCTCAAGAGGGCCAGATGTGGCCAAGGAGGGTATTCGATGGCCCAAGCGCGAACATCCCCTCACCGTTGCCCGTTTTGGCCCTTGATTTTGGGCCCAGGTTTGGCTCCTGATCGCGCGCAATCATATCATGGAGGACGTCCAAAATCGCGTCGAAGTTCCCGTGCCGAAGGACGCCACAGGCGAGCCCGACGATTTGCCTCAACAAGCCCCTTGGCGACGCGCAGCCAAGCGCTACCGCTTAGAAACCGTAAGGTTCCGACTGGTAGGCAAACTTTGGCCGAATATGCGTTTTCTTTGGTCCAAAGGAGCTGGTCTTGTAGGTCACCCAAACGATTCCCGAACTCATCGTTTGTATTGCCATACAGAAGGGCCGTAGTGCCCAATATTTTGAAGCTCAAGTTGCAAGCAACCAGTGGATGTCTGCGATATCCTGCTTGCGGCTCCTTCCAGCGATCTGTGAGCGAAACTTTGCGCATCCTGGGCCCTGAGAAGCGCCAGCTTGTTGGGTCGTCCTGAGCGGTTCCGGTGGCCGTGTGAGCCAGGTTGGTTTTTGGTGGAGAGGCTTCGAAGGGCCACAGGTTGCGCCGACGAGCCCGTCGGGGGACCCCCCGTACCCCCCCCCTTCAGACGGGAGTTTGGACTTCTCGTGATGGGCAGCGGGGACCGACGCAGCACAAACTACACACGCTGGGCCCCCGGCCGGTCAGCCCTCGCGTGCTGGCGCCCCCGCGGGGGTCGGTGGATTCTTGTTGGCCGGCGGAGTGGCCTACACAGTTGGGCGCTGGCTTGCCAGCACGGCCCGAGGAGGCGCGCGGCGGCTTCCGTGGGAAGGTCGGCTGCGCAGATGACCGTCCCCACTGTCGCGGGATTGCGATGGCTCCCCTTCCGTACTCTCTGTTTCTTCCTTTTGTGCTCACTTGGCATCGCTCGGACGTGTGCATTCTTCCTTCGGCGAGGACCATCGAGGAGCATCCTTGATCATTTCGCGAAAAAACCACGCACGAAACCGAAACAAGCACAGAAAATGGACGTCCGAGCGATGGCCAGCTCATGTTCCATCTCTCTTTCTGCATGTGTCCAGTGGTGTCCACGTGCATGCAGGTATGACGGTCGTCATCTTGCAGCTCTGGCGGCATGTGTACGGCTTCACTCATGGGAGCGCAAGCCGGGCCAAAACGGCCCCAACACGTCCAACATCCAGCGCCCCAGCACATCCACCACGGCCCAGCAGGCTTCCAACATGACCCCGCTGGGTATCGCTGATCGTTTCTTCCTTCTTCGTTTCCCCTTCCCGTCTTATGATGTTCCCGCCTAGTTTAGCCTTGACCACCAGAAAGAATGCCGAGCGCCAAGAGAAAGTACCGAAACCAGAGGGGTTCCGCGTGTCAGGCCCTGGGAGGCGACACTCGTTCGACACTGTCTTGGACACTTCTCTGGGTGCTCGAAATTATTTCTGGGATGTGGTCCTCAAGTACGATGGGAGCAACTCAGGAGGGGACAAAAACACACACACACAGATACAAGTAATCGTCGATCCCCAAGAAAATATTGGAAAATATGGGAATTGGGCGGGAAGACAAAAACACAGAAAATATTGGAAAATTTGGGGAATCATTTTATTTTTGTGTGTGTGTGTGTTTATTTTTGTTTCCTTGGGCCCTTTGAGCAACATAATTCTCGTCCTCCTCTGTCCCGGCTCCGCCGCGCGCTCCTGGGCTGCCGCAGGCGGTGGTGCTGCTGATGCTCTGCTGCTCTTGCTGCTTCTGCTGCTGCGCCTCCTGCTGCCCGACGAAGAGACAACGGCATAAACAGAAATTTGTGGCGCTCCGCGCGGATTCTTGGATCCGCGCTGGGCTTCCCCCCCCCGCGGCGGCGCCTCCAGCGCCGCCCCTGGCGCGCTCCGCGCGCAGGGAGGGGGGGTCCAGCCCAGATCCAAGAAGTCCGCTCGGGGCGCCGCAAGTTTATGTTTATGCCGTTGTTTCTTGTTCTCGTTTCTTGGGCTTCTTGGGTTTCGACGGTTTTGCGATGGAAAGCGGGTGTTCTCACCAAAGATCCATGGACGGCGTCCCCACCAAAGATGCATGGACGTCCTGCTGTCTCAGGGTTGGGTCTCTTGTGGAAGGCTTCTTGTGGACTGGCCTCCACTGTACATCCTTCTGGTCCAGAACGCGGCCTCGGCCTCACGTTCGGCAGCCGATGGGTGGCAGCACCAATTTTGGTGTGAATTCGTACCGCTTCAACTTCCCCACCTACCAAACCACCCCAACCCAACCCGAAGGCTCAGATTTACCTCGATTTCCAGTGGGGGGGGGTTCGGGAAACATCGAAAAAACACGTATGGAACCCTTACCCCCCCCAACCCGAAATTCGGGTCTTCGGGTTGGGTTGGGGTGGTCTGGTAGGTAGTCACAACTGCCCAAGTTTCCGCCTCGTCTGATTGGCCCACGCCCACGTCCGGAGCCCCTGCCGCTTTTCGGGGCGTGGCTCTCCCAGGCATTCCTGCCGCGCTCGCAGGACAGAGGCGCTCCGCGTGTACAGCCTCGCTGTCTGCTCCCATCTCCAGGCCCCCGACCGATGCAGGTGGAATCTGTCACCGGATTTCCGAAGTCAGACTCCCGGCCGCGTTCCCAAAATAAGTTACACGAGCCCCAATCAGTGGATGGTTGTCGCTGAGGAGATCGACCAGGAACCCGGGAGTCCGGGAACCCAGAACCCACCGAAATCGGCGGCCCGGAAGTAATAACCGGGAACCCGGGAACCCGGAGCCGGGGACCCGGGAACCCAGCCCGCTACCAAAGTCGGCGGGAGACTTTCGCCAAATCCTTCAACTTCCGCTAGGACCCCTTCAGTGCAAGCACTGATTGGGGAACCACCAGGCGCAGCAGTATGCGCGGTGGGGGGTCTGGGCTACGCGGCCTCCGCCCGCGGGGTCATCGGGCGCGAGAGATCCGCGCCGGATCGGCCGCGCGTGCCGGCAAGAAGAGCTGTCGGACGAGTGCAGCTGCCAGCGCGCCAGGGAAGACGATCAATGGCGAGGAAACGTTTGGCGAAAGAGCTTCCAGATGTCTACAACTATGGGGTGGACAGATCTCGTACCCTGACACTTTTTTACTCATCGAAGAAGCCCAGCGGCAGAGAGCAGCGGTCGAGGAGGGGAGGGGGGGGAGGGGACGAGGGGGGCGGGACGGCACGCGGCCTACGCACAGGCCGCCTGAATTACGAATCGGTCCGGCGGCCCCGGGCGCTGCACCTGGCTTTCGCGCAGCGCTGCGCGCCAGTCGGCCTCGCGGCCGCCAGCCCGGACCGCGGGCAGGAGCAGCAAGGCTGCCGCCCTCGGCGGCAGCGCCGCGGCCCAGCCCGCACATGGCGTCGCCGCCAGCCGCGGCCACGCGGGCGTGGAGGTCCCGCGACGCAGGCAGGCCACCCAGCCGGGGCCTTGCGCGGCGGCGTGCAGCTGTCAAGCCTGCCCCACGAACAGAGCGGCGCCGCGGGCCCTGCTGCCGCCGCCGCCCGCACTGCCTGGCGGCGCTGGTGCTGCGGCAGCCCCGGCCGCAGGGCCCTGCAGCGGCACCCCTGGCTGCGCGCCGAGCACGCCCCGCCGGCCGCGGCGCCGGCGCTGCGGTCTGCGCGCCCGAGGGGCCACGCCGGCGGCGCCATGGTTCACATTTAGCGCCGCCAGCTCCACCTCTGCCGGCAGCCGCTGCGCGACGCCCAGGGCGCGCAATCGGTGTCCCGCCCAGCGAGCAGGGCGTGCGGCGGGAGCCGCGCGCGCGCGCGGATGCGCCCGCCAGCCGGTCAGCGGCGGCGTTCCCAAGGCGGTCCTCCTCAGCCATGCCTCGGGCCTTTCGCGCTGGCCGCGTCGAGGTGCCCTTTGATCCATCTCGCTTCCAAGTGCCCAGTCTGGCAATACGGGGCCAGCAACTCCCAGATTTCCACGTGCGGCCACTCCGCTGGGGACGCCCCTGCCCAGAGCGCCGCGACCCCGTTGCTGACGAACCGCGAGTCCGTTCGCGAGTTCGTTATCACCTCGACGGGGCCCGCGGCGAGGCTCACCGTGTGCAGGGCGGCCGTCAGCTCCGCCCTCTGCCATCTGGGGCCCGTCGACCGGCCCGCTGCTGTCCTGCGGGCCGGCAGGGCCGTCGAGCCTGACCCCCCATCCTGCCCTGGCCAAGAGCCGGTCGGCCGGCCGCTCGCAAGCTCCGTCTGTCCACGCTCGGCGGCGAAGTGGGCCCCATTGCGGGGCCTGCATCCCAGCGGGCAACGGCGGGGGCAGAATGGGCGCGCGGGCGCTCTCGGCCAGCCCGCGGAGAACTGGCTCCTCCGGGAGGACGCCAGTGCAAACCGTGCCCCGCGGCAGAGCCGCGCGGAGGCTCTCCAAGCGAAAGCCAGTGCCCCGCAGGGCCGCCGCCCGCGCATCCTGCCAGCACGGGCGCGGCCAGAAACGGTGCTCCGGGTCCTCGTCGACCGTCCGGCAGCGAGGGCACAGCTTCGGTTTGCCCCACTTTGCCGCCCTCGTTTGCGTGACGACGCCGCCAGCGAGCACCGTGCGCAGCGCGCCCGCCAAGTCGGGCGCGAGCTGTCCTTCCTCGAGGAGCCCGCGCGTGGCCCAGCGGTCCACCCCGTTGGCGAGGTGCGCCATGTCGCCCCGGCGGGCGGCGACTGCCGCCGCTTCGCGGCGGGCCCGAGCCGCCAGCAGCACGCTACGCGTGGCCTGCAGCAAGTGCTCCGCGGTCCGCCACCCCGCCGGCGCGGCAGGGGCGCCAGTCCAGCTCTCGGCATCGTGCCCAAGCCGTAGCTCCGCGAGGCTGCGCACGGCCGCCGAGATCGGCCGTTTCTGCCGCCCGTGTCCCGCCGCGATGGCGCCGGCTGCGCTGCGCCACAGCTGCCCTGCATGGGAAGCGTCCGCGGCGGGTCGCCTTCGCGATGTGCCAGAGCGGGGCGATGGTCGCCACGGCGGCGGGATCGAGGCGCCAGCTTGGGCTCAGCACGCCGAAAACGACTTCCGCGGTCGCCCGGAAGCCGCCGCGGCGGCATGCCGCGTGCCGGGCAGCCGCGCGGAGCCCTCGCAGCTCGCCCCCAGGCGGACGGCCGCATGCTGCGCCGTACAGGCCTGCAGCCGTGCCCGCCGCCGCACCCGACGTGCGCCCAGGCAGGCGAGCGATGCGGGCAAGCGGTTTTTGGCGTCAGCCATCCGCCCTCCCGCCGCGGCGCTACGTCTGGCCTCGCCGGCGACGGCGGCCGTTTCAAAAGTGACCTAACGCTGGTTTGGTCACTTTTGACATTGGCCGCCCCCGGGCGCCGCCGGGCTCCCCCGGCGGCCGGCCTGCGCGCGGTGGCGCCTCCCGCTGGGGGGGGCCTTGTGTTGCCGAAGCGGCGCGCGATCGGCACGGCTGCGATTGTGCTGCCTGCCGGCTCGCGGTGAAGCGGATGGCCGCGGCGGGGCGTTCGCGTCGGCGAGGCGCGGGCCCCTGGCCCTGCCCTCCCATGGACGACGCGTTCACAGTGGGAGTGGCCGATGCGACGCGATGGGGCGCGAGCTGGCGGGGGCGGCTGGCGGCGGCCGCCGACGCACGGCGCGCGCAGGAGGCCCGCGTCCCCGCCCGGCAGGCGTCGTCCACCAGCGGATGCGTGGACGCGCGGCCTGCGGCTCCAGGTGGGGCCCGAGCACGATGGTGAGCATTTGCTGGCGGTCGCTCACCGGCCAGGGCGTTGAGGGGCCCGGGCGGAGCCGCCCCTGGGCGCGTCGAGCAGGCACCCGGGGCGCCTCCAGCACGCGTTAATCCACTTCGGGCAGGCCCGGGCCGTTAATGTCATGAACTGCTGCGGCTACGTGGGCGGAAGTTGGCGGAAGGTGCGAGCAGGGGCGCAACGCCGACCTGATCCTCGAGGACCTGATGTGGCTGCGTGGCCTCGGCGCGGCGCCAGCCTTCCTGGCGGGGGACCTGAACTGCAGCCTGGAGGCCGTGGGCCTCTCGGGAGTGCTGGCCGTGGCGGGTTGGCGCGACCTGCTGGCCGCGGCAGGGCCCACCTGCGCGCCTGCCCACGGCGCCCTCTCCCGCCTCGATCCCTGAGGATCCTTTCTGCCTAAAGAAAGGCCTTCCTTACAAAAGAAAGGCGGGTTGTCGGGAAACGGGCCGCGATGTCGGGATCCGGCCTTCTTTTTCGGAATCCTGCTAAACATTGGCGGGAGATGTCGGGATCCTGCTTTCTTTCCGGCTTTCTTTGTCGCGGTATATATATGGTATGTTGTGTTATGCTATGTTATGATGATACGTCAATATAAATGGTAGTGCATATATATATATATATACATATATTCATATGTAGAAACGCATATATATATATACACATTATATATACACATAAGTTAATGGTGTTCATCAAACATTATATATGCGGTATGCAACACTACCAGACAGCACTGGCATTCGACAACGCCTCAGCGTGACAAAGGGGCGCGGATCGATGCCCTTGCTTTCCGTTCTCTTTTTTTCTTGTCTCTCTCTCTCTCTCTCTCTCTCTCTCTCTCTCTCTCTCTCTCTCTCTCTCTCTCTCTCTCTCTCTCTCTCTCTCTCTCTCTCTCTCTCTCTCTATCTCTCTCTTTCTCTTTCTCTTTCTCTCTCTCTCTCTCTCTCTCTCTCTCTCTCTCTCTCTCTCTCTCTTCCCCCCTCCTCCCCCCCCACGCGGCCCCGCGTGTTTGGCTCTCGGCGCCGCGGGCGCCCCCTGGGCGCCTCCCTCGGCGCCCCCCTGGGCGCCTCGACGCCCCCCTCGGCGCCCCATTGGGCGCCGTGACGGTGCGCGCCATCCCCGCGCTGGTCGCGCTGGCGGTGGCCCCGCGGCGCCGACGCCGCGCGGGGGGGGGGGGGGGGCAGCAGCAACAGCAGCAGGGAGAGGGGCGCAGGGCAGGAAGAAGGGGGGGAAGACGAGGAGCAGTGGGAGGAGCACAGGAAGAGGAGGATGAGGTGGAAGACTTGGAGTAGAAGGAGGAGGGGGATGAGGAGGAACAACAACAGCAATGCCAGCAGCAACACTAGCAACAGCAGCAGCAGTATCAACAACAACAACAACAGCAGTGTCAGGACGACCGACTACGAGGATGAGGAGGAGGAGGACGAAGAAGGGGATGAGGATGAGCTCCCACGCAGAGGAAAACCCGTCGGAGCTCGAGCGCGCGTTCTGACCATGAGCTCGAAGTGGGCCCAGTCGTGGCGACGAGAACGCCCCAGGAGGCATGCCTCCTGGGGCGCGCGACAATCGCCTCGATGTGTTCGGTGTTTTCGTCGTGGGGGCCATCGTCGTCCTCGCTCGAGCGCGCGTTCTGACCATGAGCTCGAAGTGGGCCCAGTCGCGGCGACGAGAACGCCCCAGGAGGCATGCCTCCTGGGGCGCGCGACAATCGCATCGATTGTTTCGGTTGTTTCGTCGTGGGTGTCATCGTCATCGTCGTCGCGGCTTCGTTGCTGCAAGCTCGGCTCGAGTTTCATTCCAGGTTGGCCCCAAAGATGGGGCGCGCGAGGAACTTCGAGCCCGCTGACGGGCCCAAGGCCTCCGAGGCCATCCATGGCCGCCCACGGGAAACTCCACCCTCCCACCCCTCGCCTCCTTCCAATCCTCCACCACTTCATCTTCCCTCTCATCCTCATCCCCCTCCCCCTCCTCCCCCCCAGCCTCATCCACCTCGCATGTTGGTTGCATCAACTAGGATGCGCTTGCCCCTGTTTGGGAACACGTCATGGATAAGAACGGCATCCAGTACTCGTCGACGGACACCCGCGCGGGCGTCGACGTCGACCAGATGCTGGACTACAGCGAAGCGCTGATTGCGCCGATGTGCATAGACGATCGTGGGGGGTATTTCGATCACTTGGACGTCGCCGCCGCGGTGAACGACATCATGACTTCTAAGAAATGGGTGTCCCAGAGTCGGCGGATCGCCAGGACACTAGGCCTCGCGTTCGAGTCGATGTCCGAGCTCTTCGCTCTGAAGTTGCGGGTCATGTGCGCCCACGTCAGAACCAAGTTCAAGGATTGCCATTGTGTGATGACTGCCCAGTCTGTCATATGACCGCCCAGTCTGTCACATGACAACCCAGTCTGTCATATGACAACCCAGTCTGTCATATGACAGCCCAGTCTGTCATATGACCGCCCAGTCTGTCATATGGCAGCCCGGTCTGTCATATGACAGCCAGGTTCTGTCATATGACAGCCAAGTCTGTCATGTGACAGCCTGGGTTGTCGCATAGGAGCTGGCGCCCACTGCGCGCGCGAAGGCGCCCCTGAAGCTGCAGCAGATCCTCGCCTGCATCAAGAACCCGCCCGCGCCATCGTCGTCGCCTCGTCGATCCAGCGATATGTTAGGAACGGCCACCGCCGCGAACCATGGCAGGATCCCGAACCCGTTCATCGTGTTCAGGGAGCCGCTGACGACGTGTGCTCGACAACCAGCAGCGCCCACAGCTACATCTAGTTCGGAGGAGGACGAGGAGGTTCCAATATTCACACATTACGATGGTACTCATCTGGTGCTCATGCTATCCACGGGCAGGACCGTGCCCGCAGAGAAGTACCACGTCAGCGACGATGGCTTCGTTGTTGGCGAGTGGCCGAAAGTGATGATGCAGAGCGGCACGCGCTACACGTTCGAGAGCGAGCTGTCGGGCGATTGGCTGATCGACGGCTCCTTGAAGAAGCCTGACCAGCCCAGGCTCAAGACGGCCGGAGGAAAGGGCAAGGCGAAGGCCAAAGGAAAAGCTAAGGCGCAGATCAAAGCGAAGGCCAAATGAAAGGCCAAAGGGAAGGCCAAAGGAAAGGCGAAGGCCAAAGGAAAAGCTAAGGGAAAGGCTAAAGCTGCAGCAGGTGTGGTTCCAACGGACGGTGACGACGTCGAGTCGCCTGTGAGGAAGCGCCCTGCGGGTCACTGGGGCGAGCAGGGCGAGACCGCCTCCGCCGCAGCGGCCGAGGATGGAGAAGAGGATGTTCCGAATGAGATCGACGAGCTGGTCGATGCGGGATGCTTGCCCGATGACGCAGACGACGAAGAAGTGACACATAAGCCAGCCGCGCACGTGCACAAGCCTGCAGCGGCCGAGCCAGCTGCAGCGGCCGAGCCAGATGAGGCGGCCGGTGGTTTGCAAATCCTCAAAATCACCTCACCTCCTCTTCGCCTCTCCGACAATCCCCTCCCCTTCTTACTCGCCCATCTTCTCCGTCCACCCTCCGCGGAACCCCCCGAGGAGAGGCTGGACATGGAATCGGATCCCGATACCGCCAGCGACGATACGTCGCAGACGTTTCCCCTCCCTGATGACAGGGGAAACGTCGGGGCCCAGGGGTTTACATATTATCCCCCCCCCTCATTGCTCGTCCCCGTCGCCAGGAACCACTCTGTCATATGACAACTAGTCTGTCATATATGTGACAGCCTGCTATGTCATATGACAGCCTAGTCTGTCATATGGCAGCCTAGTCTGTCATATGACGGGCACCTGGATGATCGGGCGAGGAGGGCGGGTGTGTTCCATCAAGCTTGCATCGCCCCAGTAGGCGGAGCTGGAGCTCATCGCGTCGCCATCGCACAACAACAAGTTTGCGATGTTCGTGAGGACGCTGGGCAACGCCAAGAAGCGCCAGATCCTGGAGGTGCAGGCGACGGCCGACCAGACTGCCAAGGAGCGGGCCCACGAGCTGATCGCGGTCATTGCGACAGAGGTGAAGGCCAAACTCGCCGAGTACTCAGACCCCGCCGCCATCTCGCAAGAGGACTGTGGGGTGAGTTGCCCACTCCCGTATCCTTCTCATCTTCCCTCCTCTGGTAATCCTTCCCCCCTCATCCTCCTCATCATCCTCATCCTCCCACTCCTCCTACCCCTCCTCTTCCCTCCTCCCTGCCTCGTTCCCCTTCACCCTCCGCCGACTCATCGCATCCACTCCGTATCCCGTGTTCACCTTAAGTCTTATCCTCCGCTGTATCCGACTCCCTCCGCCCTCCATTCATGCGGCATCCTCCTCCTCCTACTCATCCTCCTCGTCCTGATCATTCCGTGTGTGACCCGGCTCGCAGGACACCCAGGCTGTGCGTGGAATCGCCGTGCAGGCCCGCGATGGGCCGTAGGCCCGTGAACGCGCCGTGAGTGGGATCGCCGCGTGGGCCCGCGATGGGCCGTTCTAGGCTCGCGAGCAGGCCGTGTCGCGCGACTGCTGGAGTCGCGACCTCGGCGGTCGAGCTGAGCGCTTGCGCGGCGGAGAGTCAGAAAAGATAGCCGTTCCTAAACAGTGCCTGTGCAACGTGGTTACGACATGCCACTGGTCGGGGTCCACGCGTCGCCACATCAATGATTATTCCTCAGACAGTGCTTGCACATATAGGTTGTGAGTTTCATTGTTGGGGGCCCACGCGTGATTCGACATTTCGTTTGAATGCGCGAAGCTGCTGAGACCACGCCGCGTTGCCACTGGGTCGACCAATGATGAAGGGACATCCGCCATCGGCACCGTGGTACCTCGCCCCGTGGCGAAGTGAATATACGGCAATGCGCCGATGGTGGGGGTCCTTCCATCGTTGGGTGCTCCAGCGGTTTCGTCGTTGAGGTGTCTGGCGGACCAATCCCAGCTGCTCGGGCTGGGCGCAGGCAGACATGGGAGGGCAAGGGGCGGGGGGGATGGGCGCCAGCCAGGTGCACATCCTCTACGCCGAGATTATTGGGGCGACGTGCGGAGGAGGCGCGCCTCTTCCTCCTACTCGTCCTCCTCATCCTCCCCTCTTCCTCCTCCTCCTCGTCCTCCTCCTCCCATCTTCCTCCTCCTCCTTCTCATGCCTCCCCTATTCCTCATCATCATCCTCACCGTCCACTTCGTCATCTTTGTTCACTGTCTCGCGTGTGCCTTAGGCTGCCGTGTGCACGTCCGTGCGGGACGTTGATTTTGTTGAGGTGTTCAGTGGCTCAGCGGGGCTGTACCGCGCCGCTCGGGCTCGCGGGTTATCCGCGTGGCATTTCGATTGGGCGTGGGATCCACGCCATGACATCTTGGGTACAGACGGGTTCGCTCACCTCTTGGACGGCTTGCGCAGGGTGAAAGAGGGCGGGCTGGTGTGGTTCGCCCCTGATTGTTCGCCGTGGGGGTTTGCGTCATCGAGTACAACGCAGAGGACGGCTGAGTGGCGGTGTGCTTCCGCGGGCCCGCCCAAAGGCATCTATAAGGAGCCGCCCCCGCACGTCGAGGGGCACGTGATGTGCGCCGACGCCAGGATGGGCAACCAGCTGGTGCGGCGCGTGACGTGGCTGATGAGGGTGCTCCACTTCCGCGGCGCCCAGGTGGTGGTGGAGAACCCTAGCAAGAGCTACGTGTGGTGTTTTCCGCCGTTGCTGAAGACGTTGGTCGATCTGCAGTATTACGGCACGCAGGCGCACATATGCATGTTCCTTTCGGGGCAAATGCGTGCTGCACTACATGCATCTTAGACCCAGCGTACCCATGCGGCTAGGCCAGAATCGTCAGCACACATCGCCCTCGCCCACTCGATCGCCGCCCATGTCGCCGTCCTCGCCCTCCCAATGAATGACATCCTCGTATGCCCGCTACCCAGCTGTGAGGGCTCGCGAAGTCGGATGCATGTGGCGTGGCGTGTGCTCACGACAGGTTCAGAGGGTCGTGGCAGGACGCAGCTTCGGTGCCCCTGAAGACGATGAGGTTCTGGGGATCGGCCTGGTGGATCATGGCGGTCGGGTTGGTGCGCACGTGCGGCGTGAAGCACAGGCCTCTCATGGAGGCAGGCGGGCACGGGGGTCGACGACAACCTGACCTTCATGGGTGAGTGGGGCCAGGGTTGACGGCTTGGGTTGGCAGGGAAGCGACATGAATCGTTCGGCTCTCGACTCGTGCGCGTGTAGCCCCGCTCACCCATGTGTGGTCCAGCTTGTCTCGTGCCTCCTGCTCTTGGCAGGAAGGCCCTCGGTGGTCGAATGGCGACCGCGCTGCTTTGTGCGGGTCAGCTGCATACCCAGTACGATTCTGCGCGCGCATTATAGATATGTTCATCCGCACGCGCGACAAGGTCCAGCTGCCCGTTTCCCTACCAAAGATACCACTGGGGTAGAGCAGGGCAACAATCGCTCGCCCTCCAACAAGTGGTATCGGTCGACCACGCAGCTGTCATATGACAGCCCAGTCTGCCATATGACAGCCCCGCCTGTCATATGACGGCCCCGTCTGTCATATGACTGCCCCGTCTGTCATATGACGGCCCCGATTGTCGTATGACAGGCGGGGCCGTGGAGTGACATCGCGATGCCGCCTCAGCATTGCTCACGCCCCAGGTGGGCCATCAGCTTCAGTGAGATCCGCATCGTGGCGAAGGTCACCGCCGTCATCGGTTGTCCAGGCGGCATTCCAGACACGCTCACCCAGGACGATCAGCGCACCATGCCAGCCAGGAAGGTTGTTCGGGGCGCAAACATGTCACCGTCCAAAGGTGACTACTGTCCTCCGACTCATCGTCCATCGTCCTCCTCGCTTCCACCATCCTCATCCTCCTCATCCTCCTCCCCCATCCGCCCCCTCGTCCTCCCACTCTTCCTCGCCCACAATAATCACCGATATGTTTTGGGAGCGTGTCCGAGCCCAGGCTAAACCGCGGCAGAAGGTCGTCGAGAAGAGGCCCGCGTCCGCGGTGCACAACAGCGACGCGAGCCCCCAGATCACGTCGAAGAAGTGGATGCGCCCAGGCCTTCCCAGGGAGTTGAAGGTGTCCAGCTCCGACGAGTACTGTCCGACGGTGACCGACGACGACGACAAGCCCTTGGAGACCGCCGGCGACGCGATCGTGGAGTCCGAGGACGACAAGCCCCTGAGCATCTACAGCAGCCCCAAGGCGGTGTCGCGCGCCAAGAGGAAGCTGCAGCCCGCCACGCCTGGCGACGACTGGATCGAGGAGCTCGGACGGTCGCTGACTGGTGGTTCGTCGGCCAGTGGCGTGGTCAGAGACGACGGTGGTGAACATGTGCACACGTCGGCCCCAGATCCAGCTGGTGATCATGCGTGTGCATTGGCCCCGCATCCAGCTGG